TAATTACTCAGTTCACTGTACAACTAGAAACACAACATACATTAATTTTGCCTTTGTGGTCCACTAATTTACAGCTCTTGTTAAAGTCTGTCACCTATTACTTTTAAGAATACTATTAAATAGCAGTGAAGGAGGTGTCATAAATGACATCAGTGACCTTATAAAAGAGAAGCCAGAGAGGTCCTGTTATGGCTTGTGTCCAGATGTCCCCACAAGGCCTCATGTAGTCAGAGCTGGAGCTTTTCAGAGGTGGCTGGATCTAGGGTTTGTGATGCTGGGATCAAGGGTGTGTGATTACTAAATTAGTCCACTGATTGGTTGGGCATAGTTCTGGGTATGAAAAATGGGAGGGCCCTTCCTGGGTGTGAGTGCTACATGTCCTCAGGCATATAACCTAGATAGAACATAAGGGACAGGAAGAAGGTTGCTGTCACAGCTCACTGCTTGCTACTTCTCTGCTTTGCTGCCTTCCTGCCTTCTCCTTGCCATGAATTATTTTTCTTCTGTAATGTCCCTCTGCCCTAGGGCCAGGCAACTACGAACTAAAGCCTCTACAAACTATAAGTTAAATAAATCTTTCCTCATTTAACTTTGAGTGTTGGGTATTTAGTCTCAGCAATGAGAAAAGTAACTAAGACAGGTCTGCACTCTTTCCACCTCATGAGGACACAGCCAGAAGCCTTCATCTATGAAGAAGAACGGACACCCTCACCAAAGACCTAATCTGATGTTGCCCTGATCTCAACTTCCCAGCCTGCAGAGCTTAAGAAACAAATGTCCCTTGGTTATAAGCCACCCAGTCTATGGTACTGCATTATAGAAGCCTAAAAAGACTTAAGACAGTGACCAAGAAAAATCAAACAAAAAAGACTCAAAAGTCTGTCAAGAACCAAAGAGGAGACATCACTACCTACCTTATGGGAATAAAAATGACAACAAGGGAATACTGTAAACACCATTATATCAATAAACTATATAAATCAGATGAAGCATATAAACTCTTAGAAGCAAACTAAAATGATTATAGAGGAAAGAAAATTCTAAACAGATCTACAATAAGAGAAGACTACTAGTAACCTGAAAACTAAGCACAGAGAAACCTAGACCCAGACGACTTTACCAGTGAATTCTATCAAACTTCTAAAAAGGAAATCAACACTTTATAAATGCTACCCTAAAAGAGAAAAGCAGAGAAAACTTTCCAACTTATGAGACCAGGATCATCCTGATACCAAAACCAATAATGATATCACAAGAACTAAAATCTAAGAATCAATATGTCTCACAAATATGGACATAAAAGTGAAGTATGGTAACTGTAATTCCAACACTCTGCGAGCCTACAGCAGGAGGATTACAAGTTTAACTCTACCCTGGACAGCCCAATGACTCAATGAGACTAAATGTCAAAATAGAATTTTTTTAAGGGTCCATGGTATAGCTCAGTGCAAAGGCCCTGAGTTTAAACAGTAGTACACAAAAAAAGACACAACAACTTTTTTTTTTTTTTTTTTTTTTTTTTGGTACTAGGGATTGAACTCAGGCCCTTGTGCTTGCTAGGGAAGCGCTTAATTCCACTGAGTCATCTCCCCAGCCCGACACAAAAACTTTTAACAAAATACT